CACTCTCTCTCTCTCTCTCACACACACACACACTCTCTCTCTCTCTCACTCTCACACACACACAGCTCCATAATGAGCCACGTCCATACACACACACACTCACTCTCTCACACACACACACACACGGCTCCATAATGACCCACGTCCACACACACTCTCTCTCACGCACTCACTCTCACAGCTCCATAATGAGCCACGTCCACACACACACACACACTCACTTTCTCACACACACGGCTCCATAATGAGCCACGTCCACACACACATTCTCACACACACACACACACACACACACACACACACACCTCCATAATGACCCTCTCTCTCTCACTCACACACACACACACTCATTCTCACGCACTCACGGCTCCATAATGAGCCACGTCCACACACACATTCTCACACACACACACGTCTCCATAATGAGCCACGTCCACACACACATTCTCACACACACACACGTCTCCATAATGAGCCACGTCCACACACACATTCTCACACACACACACGTCTCCATAATGAGCCACGTCCACACACACATTCTCACACACACACACGTCTCCATAATGAGCCACGTCCACACACACATTCTCACACACACACACGTCTCCATAATGAGCCACGTCCACACACACATTCTCACACACACACACGTCTCCATAATGAGCCACGTCCACACACACATTCTCACACACACACACGTCTCCATAATGAGCCACGTCCACACACACATTCTCACACACACACACGTCTCCATAATGAGCCACGTCCACACACACATTCTCACACACACACACGTCTCCATAATGAGCCACGTCCACACACACATTCTCACACACACACACGTCTCCATAATGAGCCACGTCCACACACACATTCTCACACACACACACGTCTCCATAATGAGCCACGTCCACACACACACACACACACTCTCTCTCACTCTCTCACACACACACACACACACACACACACACTCTGTCTCTCTCTCACTCTCTCTCTCACACACACACACACACTCGTCTGTCTGACAGCATTCATCTCTATCTGACCACACAGACTTCCTGTAGAGTTCTCATCATAACACGCGTCTTTAATAACATACCGTTTGTCATTTTCGCAGCTTTCAAATCCCGTGTTGAGAAGAAGCGCTAGTTGCCAGTGGTTGTTTATTTACTCTCTTCATCAGTTCCGCATAGACAGCGCAGCAGAGACGGCTTTGACGGACTTCCGGAACGCTTCCGGTAGCGCGGAATTATGGGAACTCACCAGACAGATTAAAAGCCTTCGCTTCGTTACAGCTAATACGAGAAGATGGTAATACTGTCATCTAGTTGTGTTTTACAGTCGGTAGGTTTAGGGAATCAAAACATTTGTAGTCTACATACTACTACTAATACATATACTGTACATTATTATTATTATTATTATCAATAATCATAATAAAATATATTTTAGATAGTTTTTAGATTGTATTTAGATATATAATTATATAATTTTGATAAAATTCTATATATAATGTTATATATTATTAATTATATAAAATTATTATTATTAATAATAATGGATGATGATAATCATAATACTAAATTGTTAAATCAAAATATTTCACATTTACACACTCACACACACATTAATAATAAATAAAAATATGCAACTTTATATATATATATATATAACCATTATTGTATTAGCTACTATTATTATTATTAATAATAATTTTTTTATATTTGATAATAATAATAGTAATATTTTTAAACTATTTATGTTCATGCATTGTTACCTGACTGATTGTTATCTCTTTACAAAGTAAAGCTCACAAACTATTTAAAGCAGAGAAATTGTGAAAAGAGCTGTTCTCTTTTTTTGTCATTTGTAACACTGTCAAGTGTGTCTGACGATTCGAACATAATTTAGTGCCGCAAACCTACAGATGTGGTATACAGATTCTATCCTCAAATGATTTAAAGATACTTTAATATGAAGTCGGTGCTGAATGCGACTGACACCCACAGTGTCTGAGACTGAGTGTTTCTCCAGCCGTCTCTAATAGCATCCTGCAGATCCTGCCAGGGTCTCTCTTGGCAGGAGAAAGGGACCATAAGGTGTGCTCAGCTGTCGTCTGGCAGTACTTGGCAGCCGCTGTGTTGGCATGTTTTATTTCTGTGTGTACGTCCTAATGCAGTGCCACAGTAAGCTATTAGTGTCTACCTCCACTCTGTCATGGTTTCTTAAAACATTAATGGTAAAGTTATCATAAAATGCCATGTGGACCATTAGAAGAATCTACTAATCTTGTTCAAATGCTAAAAATGTGTTTATAGTGAATTATAGTGTGAATTCACTATAAACACATTTCTGCTTGCATATTGAGAGAATAGGTGTTAGTGGCTGCATTTTTGTAAACAGCAAAGCAGGTCGCTTCTAAGAATCTGTATGTAATCCACCATCTGTTGGGCAATGGGCATCATCCTGAGGTGTGTTACGCAGCTAATTTGATGCCATTCGTTGCATCAAGCTGTGGAGCAACTAGCTTTGCCTTTAAAACTGTGTTTGTGCACTTGAGAAGCATACCGTCCACCTCCTGCTGACAGATCTGTGCTTCAGTATGCTGCTGTATTACAAAACACAGGTAAGATTGAACCTGCTTACAGAATTCATTACCACATGTTTTCTTTGCAATGAATTTTGAGTCATTTTTAAAGGGGTCATATGATACTTTTTTAAGGATCATTATTTGGTGTATTTGGTGTAACAGAATATGTTGACATGCTTTAATGTTTTTCAAATACTGTACATTATTGTAGGTCCTCTATGCCCAGCTGACTCCACTGTGATGTGACGCTGTCTCTCTCTCTCTCTCTCACACACACACACACACACACACTCGCGCGCGCACGTCAGAATTCCCTCCTCTCCTAGGTTCACAAAACGGTCGTCCATAAAATGCATTGCTGTTCTGTTGCAAGTAATCTTAAAGATTCCTAAATGCATCTACTTTCGGAAGGCCAAATAAAGTGCTTTTGCTTTCGCCTAGAAACACACAGCGTCTCCCTGACACGGCTGCTTCAACACTAACACTTACTGAAACCATGCCTTCTTTCTTTGCGTGAACATTTGGGCGCATTATGCAAATATTTCCACATAGTGAGGTAGATATGTGGGGGCGTGTTAGAACGAGCCGTTTTAGGGGGGCGTGGCAGAGTCTTAACTTTGATAAAGAATATCTCTTTAGTTTTGAGACTTTAGTCTTTGCAACTTCAGGGATCTTATCTATTCACAATCAGCTTGTAACACTCCAAAGAGAAAGAAAACTTGAAATCGCATCATATGACCCCTTTAATAATGCGAATTTGTGACTTGAATATTAGTGCGAATAATTATTTATTTCACATGGCTAACATGTACTTTCAAATTCCATGCCTTGAATTAAATAATTTGGTAATATTATTGTAAAATAATTATTAACGAATATAATAATAATGATAATAACACTGATATTGTTATATACAGTAGTAGTACTATTGTTGTTGGTTACAATGTTTTAATTATAACATTAAATTATTTCTTCAAAAACTGTACAAGATATTATTTTGTTATATAGCCTAATTTAAAGGCACAATATGTAAACTTTATGCATTCAAAACAAAGGCGTAGTTTGATGACGCCGTGACTGAGTGTGGAATCATGGGAGTTGTGGTCTTCATCCCCACAGCCGATGCAATCCGACGGGACTCGGGCAGAAATCATGTTCACGGATGAGCTAATGATTTATTAACGTAGTAGAATGAAGCAGGGTGAAGCTGAAAGCCGTCGAAGCGAAACGAGGCAGCTGAACGAGGGTGACAGATGGCTCTTCCGCTCCTTCCGGTCGTGCGTATGTGGGGTAAAGCAGCGGAGCTTTTATTACGCCACAGTCGACCGCTTCCGCTCCTTCCGGTCGTGCGTATGTGGGGTAAAGCAGCGGAGCTTTTATTATGCCACAGTCGAGCGCTTCCGCTCCTTCCGGTCGTGCGTATGTGGGGTAAAGCAGAGCTGTTTTATCAAAGATACATTTGAAAGTTCTGTTATAATGTTACTCTGTGAGGTCGTCACCTGTCTATTAAAACGCACAACATATTAAAGCGCCTTTGGTGTTTCCATATTTTGTACAAAACAAAACCGGAAATCGAGGGGTTATGACATCATTGGCAGGTGACACAGTGACACTATGGACACGGTCCGTGTCACTAGTTAAAATTGCTTGCTTCTCTGGATTTAAACATTCTTCGAAACATTTGGAATAATGTAAGTACACAAATCAGCAATATATATAACACTGTTCTAGTGGTTTTTGGATATTTTAATAAAAAAATCTTACATATTTTGCCTTTAATAATAAAGGAATACACTAAAGCCCGCAACACCCCCAAATAAGTTTTTTTTTTAAATTATTTTTCTTGTTGTCTACTTTGTATTGATTTATGTTAGTAAATAAATTAATAAGATTTTAATATATATATATTAAATATGAATAGTACAATTGTAGAATAAGGTACAATTATCATATATCAAATAAAATAAATACAATTATAAATATAGCAGAAATAACACAATCTGAATTATATATATTTTTTTCCTATAAGGTTATTTCACAAAGAATGGGACAGAAGAATCAGAAAACAGGTATTTTTTCAGCCCTTTATGATTTTCTTGAAAACATTTTTTTGGGTAAGAACCCAAAAATTAATAACCTCATAGCTCTGGTAACATTTTGTCTTCTCCGTCCGTCAGAAAGCTCCAGCGGTGCTTCTACTGCATCCCAGCAGGCTAGTGAAGGCCAGGACGATCTCATCCGGCCGAAGAAACTGTTCAACCCTGTTTTGGAGTCTTCTAGTCGTAGAGGTTTACATCGTGAACTGCTAGTCAGCCACAGATGGTGAGCTAGAACAGCCCCTCCTGTTCATTTACAGCCCAGAAATGGTTTCTCGGGTGACTTTAGCAGTCTATTACAGCGGACTCATACAAAACAGGGCGCTTCTGCGATTTGGTGTGTGTTGAGGCTGTGCTTTCAATTATGTGTGGATGAGTTGAGGCCAATTCACAGGGATCAGAGCATCTGCCGTCTGAACAGAATCCCAACAGACTTCCCTGAGCTCTGGGAAAGGGGATCTACAGGGCACATAGATAGAAAACAACACCAGCAGGCTAATCTCTTATTAAGTGTGTGTGGACTCATAAAAAATCACGTTTGACGACATTAAAACATTATAAGCCCGGTTTTGGTCTTTGATTAGTTTGGAAAAGAAACGGAGGACACCGAACAAGAACAACAAACTACTGAAGACGGCAGCAACAATAGACACCCGCTGTGACAAGCGTGTATGTGAGGGAAGTAAGGGATACGCGCAACTATAGTTTAAACGAGAATTTTGGTTCTATTTTAAAGAGGATGAATCTCTCTAGTGCTCATGTGTCGAGCACCTGTTGTTCGTGCACTGGCCACGGTTCGGAAATCAACGGGGACTTGATGTGACAGTATGATTCAAACATGCCACCAAATTGGACAAATTTCCACTTTTATACTAAAACTATTACGGCTGTCATGAGTAAAGTGAACATTTGAATCTGCTCATGTTGCATCGTACTTCTTTTTACAGCGTTGAGCATTATAACCAATCGCACACACAATTCTGCTGAGCTTTTGAATGCAATAGCCAATCAGAGGCTAAACTGTGATCATGTTAAATACAAATTAACTTGTATTAAAAATACGGTAGCACTTTATTTTACAGTTTGTGTACTTCCCAGGTACATACATGGCAAATATCTTGTACCTACAGGCAAATGAGTGGTAACACAAGGTACTTACCTGAAGTGTATGTACATGGTAACAAATAAGAAGCACGGCTGTACTTAACAGTCGTACATGCATGGTAATTTGTTTGTACATACAGACAAGTGTGGGTAATAACGGTCACTTACAGGTAGTGCCCATACATGATAACTAATTAGATACTTTACTGTACTTACTAATGTATATACATGGTAAATATGTAGGCCTAGTACTTACAGACAAGTGGGTACAAACAGGCACATCCTTACAGTATCCGTATATGGTAACTAATAAGACACATTACTGTACATACTAATGATATGTATATGGTAAATGTGTAGCACCTACGGAAAAATGTGGTATTATGTAGTAACAAACAAGACACATACTGTACTTGGTATACATGTGGTAAATATGAAGTACTTACCAACAAGTGTGAGTAATAACGGTCACTAACAGGTAGTGTCAGTATATGGAAACTAATAAGACACATTACTGTACATACTAATGATATGTATATGGTAAATGTGTAGCACCTACGGAAAAATGTGGTATTATGTAGTAACAAACAAGACACATACTGTACTTGGTATACATGTGGTAAATATGAAGTACTTACCAACAAGTGTGAGTAATAACGGTCACTAACAGGTAGTGTCAGTATATGGAAACTAATAAGACACATTACTGTACTTACTAATGGTCTATACATGGTAAAGTTGAACAAAGTTTGAAGACCTGGTAATTCCTGTGTAATGTTTATGTAAAATGGTGCACTTTATTTTACAGTGCTATTTCCATATAATTACTATGTACATACTGGTGTATGTACCTATTAGTTAATGTACAGAATAAGTTATGCGGTACTCAAGTTGGAGGGTATAAACATGGACTAAGGTACTTATTGAGTAATTGATGGTAGGTGCCATTGCAGTTAACTTGCCTTATCTTTAACGACACTGATTCTCTTAACTAATTGGTCCAATAGGGATTTTTGATGACGTACATTCCTAATAAGTATGTGTGTAGACAGATTTTATTTTGGAATTATACAGTAGCTACCAGACTCATATTTGCACTTGCAACTCCTGATGTCTAAATCCCTATTTAAAAGGACTGTGCCTGCTAAGTATTAACATTATTCAGTGCTGCTCAGTTACTACTGTGTTCCCAACCAACTTCCAAAGTTCCAAACTGCAATGGCACCTACCATCAATTACTTAATAAGTACCTTGGTCCATGTTTATACCCCCCAACTTTAGTTCTGCATAACTTATTCTGTACACTAATTAATAGGTACACACACCAGTACGTACATAGGAAGTATATGGAAATAGGACTGTAAAATAAAGTGCACCATTTTACATAAGCATTACACAGGAATTGCCAGTTCTTCAAACTTTGTAAGCACTGTTGTGGACAGCAATTTAGCATTAACAGTCCTACACAAGCAATTGAAAAATAGTCCTCTTTATATTAGGTAAGGTTAGGACATACCAAGCGTACCGTATATATATGTTAAGTATATATGTTAAGTACAGCCGTGCTTCTTATTTGTTACCATGTACATACACTTCAGGTAAGTACCTTGTGTTACCACTCATTTGCCTGTAGGTACAAGATATTTGCCATGTATGTACCTGGGAAGTCCACGTACTGTAAAATAAAGTGCTACCAAAAAGACTTTGACACTCATTGTGACCTTGGACCACAAAACCAGTCATAAGGGTCAATTTGTTAAAAATTGAGATTTATACATAATCTGAAAGCTGAATAAATAAACTGTTAGGCTTGTTAGGATATGACAACATTTAGCCGAGATACAACTATTTGAAAATCTGGAATCTGAGGGTGCAAAAAAATCTAAATGTTGAGAAAACCACCTTTAAAGTCGTCCAAATTAAGTTCTTAGCAATGCATATTACGTCAAATGAAGTTTTTATATATTTACGGTAGGAAATTTACAAAATATCTTCACGGAACATTATCTTTACTTAATATCCTAATGATTTTTGCCATAAAAGATACAATGTATTGTTGGCTATTGCTACAAATATACCCATGCTACTTATGACTGGTTTTGTGGTCCAGAGTCACATTTGGTACTTGCCTAGAAAGGTGTGTTTATGATAATAGATTACATGAACATTAGGCTTTAAGTTAGTTTTTTTTGTTGCCATATTTTGTAAAATTATATTCAATATTTTATATTCCTAATAATAGTGTAAACTCAATCAAGTGAGAGATAAATACGTCTAAACTTTAAAAAAAAATGAATTTCTACAATATTGCATGAATCACTAGAATGAGTAACTGTTTTTTGCTAATAAACACATGAGGTCTCATTGAAAACTGTTTGCAGGGGTCTCCTGCCTGAAGAGAAGCCAGAGCTGAAGCGGGTGCTGGAACAGAGGAGACTGGAGCAGCACAGAGAGAGAGAACAAGCCTCACATCTGCCATCTGACCTCGAGCAAGAGCTGCACAAGAGAAGCCAGAGACTCCTGGCGGTACGTGTTCACGGGTTCACGCATGACGTCAGTTCTGACATGACAACTCTCGGAGGGATTGGCATGGTAATATACATGACAATGTTAATGTGTTTGGTCTCGGCTGAACAGATCTGCTACGCTGCTGCTGCAGAGCAAGTACCGAGACTTGCTACTGCCAATAACATCCACAACATACTGCTGTGAGCGTGTAAGAAATATTGGAATAACCCCCCACAGCATACATGATCATCCCGTAGCAGATCTATACAGGTGGAGCTGGGGAAGGTGGAGGTTTTCTGAAGTGCGCTGCTACTGCTACAGCAAACACTGCCAGGTATTTGAATGTTGAGCAGGGAGCTCATTGGCTACCGATACAGGAGAGAACCAATCTGATATGCCATGTGATAATGATGTCTTTATGTCATATTGAGTTAGATCTATCGGACTGCGCCATCTAGAGTTTCATGCCAGAATTTTGAAATTCAACCAAAGGCATTTAGCGCTGCTGTCAGTGAATCGTGACTTGAGAACTACAACGACAACGAAACATTAAAAAATCTTGCCTACCCAAAACTTTTGAACAGTGATGTACCATTAACCCTGTGAAAAACAAAAAAGAGATTTCAATTCTGTATTATGCGTATTTAGGAGACTCATTGGACCTGTGATTCTTTCCTTACAGTACGAGCAGGAAGAGCTGAGACGCAGAGAGGACCTACAAAACATGCCAGAGTTTGTTCGAGTGCGGGAAAACCTGAGACACATCACCGTCACAGGCTACTGAACCAACAGAAAAACTATGAATACAACAAAACCCATTTTCCCAAAGAACTGCTTTTTGTTCTATCAGGGGGAAACATTATCATCAGCATGATTCTGTCATTTTGTGTTGTGCTCTCTCACCCCAACCAAATCTGAAATGGCTTTTAAAGTGTGCAAATAACTTTTTGTATCACCATCCAGGGCCCAAAAACTGGCCCCCCAGTGAAAATCCACTGTTCACTGTCCATTTATCAATAGTGTAGTGATGCACAAAGTCACTTCAAACTAAAGTAGCTTTACATTGCTCAACACAGCGAATTTGGATGTTCAAAATAGGGCTGCACAATTATTGCGCTACAGATGCCACAATTATGTAATCGTTCAAAGCGGCAATTAATCGTTCAGTCCACTTATGTTATTCTGAGTGCTTAAGATGCGTTTTTTCTTTCTACATGTTATCTTAAGGGTTTTTCCATTGTTTTAATTTTAGTGTTAGTATAACATTATAATACCATTCATATTTTTACTTTTTTTATTATTTAAAGAAGAAACCAATCCAATGTACAGTTGACATTTGAGCCTTAATGCTATAGAAAGGCAATAAAAGATTTTTTCTTTTGAGTGTTTTCAGTTTGTTTATTTTCATATAAAAATACGGCATGCAGTTGCTTCAAACAATGGTATAAACATCATTCAATGTAAATTGTGATAATCGTAATTAATATTCGCAATTACAATTTCAAGGGAATAATCAACAATGATGATGTGTCATAATCGTGCAGCCCTAGTTCAAAGTTTAACAAACATGAATCTAATGTGAAATCTGTATATTAAAATGCAGAATTACACATTGCGCCAATTTTGATTGAGATGGATGCATTTTTCCCCACAGAATTTCACTGTACAAAGGTAAATATGATCACATCCTAATACATGGTTTTAATAAACTACTCTTTTTTTTTTTAAATAAAAAAAAACATACAAGGAGACTGATCTGGTGTAAAAACTGAACAAAAACCATTTAATAAAATTTGAGGTACATTATTTACAACTCAGTCACAACACATAAAATACTAGAAATACTGCCAAACCTGGCGGCCAAGTTCTATAATCTTCAAGACAGCTTTATAATTATATGGCAAATTTGTGAGCAAAACTCACAAAGAAAACCATCTCAGGTTCTCTATCACAATGGACAACATTTGTCAAAATACTTAGGTTTATGGACATTTATCTTCAAGTTTCTTTCCTGTTAATAAACTGCTAGTCTGGCACATTCCTTTTCTTATCCATGTCAATTTATTTCAACAGATATGCTCTAAACATCTCAGGATTAAATGAATGATAAGATGGAGAATTCTATGGGTGGACATCAAGTACAGAAGGTGTATGCAGAGAATGCAGCAAAAATATCTCACTTCACCCAGAATCCCCCAGGCTCTCCGTACAAGCTGACTCTACTTTGAATCAGCCTAATAAAGGAAAAACATCTCGATCTTAAAAAGAGCAGCTTTTCGGTAACATCATCTCCCACATTTCTAATTTAAAAAGCCTTTTCAATAGGTTAAGAAATGCTGTTTCGGCTCGACACACGACACTGATAATAAATAAATAAATAAGTAGCAAGTGGAAAAAATGCATATGATCACGGGTGTCAAAGAGTCAGGGGATGCCATCCTTCCGCTGGCAACACTGAGAAGGCGGGACGCTCCAGTCGTAAATGTAGGACAGCCTCAGTTTGACTTCCTCTTTGCACAGACGCCCATTTTGCTGTAGCGTCTGATGCTTCTCCAACATGTCCTCTAAACTCTGCTTTAAAAAGCCTTTTCAATAGGTTAAGAAATGCTGTTTCGGCTCGACACACGACACTGATAATAAATAAATAAATAAGTAGCAAGTGGAAAAAATGCATATGATCACGGGTGTCAAAGAGTCAGGGGATGCCATCCTTCCGCTGGCAACACTGAGAAGGCGGGACGCTCCAGTCGTAAATGTAGGACAGCCTCAGTTTGACTTCCTCTTTGCACAGACGCCCATTTTGCTGTAGCGTCTGATGCTTCTCCAACATGTCCTCTAAACTCTGCTTGTGAGTGACCAGGTACTTATTGCTGCAGCCGCGCGACTTGTACTCCGTATCAAAGCGCGGATCGTGAACCCGCTTCACGTCCACGGGGGCCAACCAGGCGCCCAAGGACACGTCCTCACTCTGCCAGGTCTTTAGAAACCCCACGTTGAGACGTACGTAGTGCACGAGGTCGGCGGAAAGCACATAGCCTCCACCCAGGGCATAAGGTAAGTAGTAGTCACACAGTTCCCAGGCACTTTCTTTCCATTTCCCGGCCGTTTTCACTCTCCCGCGGCCGGAGAAGAAGCCCCAGTAGAGTCGGCTGGGCTCCTTGGTCTTCAACTCCTCTTTGAGGAGATTCAAGCGGGTGAAGGTGTCGTCGTCGGTCTTCAGAACGAATTTAAACTCCACGTTTTGGTCCAACCAGGAGTACATGTGAAGCAGTTTCTGCGTGAGGTTCTCATATGAATCCCGGAGGTCAGGGAGCAGGAGGAGGTCATGGTGACGGATCTGCTCGGTTCCGAGGTTCTGGAGGTCTTCTGGAGGTAAACCCTCGGTGCCAATGACAAACCAGTAGAGCACTTCGGGATCGTGTTTGGTCAGCCAGGTGCTCCGGATGATGCTGCGACGCTCCGTGTACTTTGGGCCCGTGGTGATGAGAATGACTAGGAACGTGGAGAGCTTTTTGGCGTGAGGAGGCCCTGCCGGCTGCTTCTGATGTGACTCGGCCCGCGGCGCCACTCCTGGGGACTCGGCCGGCTTCAGCGTCTCAGACGTACATTTGGCGAGGAACAAAAGGACGACGGCGAATAAGAAGAAGACACTGAGTGCCAGGGCTGTCTTGTGACGACACACGAGACGGACCAAATTCATGATGTCACTGAGAGACAGAAGGAAATCGTACCACTTTTGAACAAAAACCTTAATTAAAATGCGTGCAACCTTAAGGCCTGTTCACACCAAGGACGTTTGGTGCACTAAACATTTGAATTTCAATGAACGTCCATTAATGGGTCCGTTCAGGGGCCAGTTGCATAAATGTAGCCCCTGCGTCTTAAGAACTAGTTTTAACAAATAGCAGTTGCCAAGGGGGTAATCAGTCTCACTTTTCAAATACAAATAAGACCAATCTACCTTTTCGAAACTGAATTAAAAAAAGTTATAACCAGTCTTGAAGAAGAACTTTTTAAAGGTGTCATCGGATGCCCATTTTCCAAAAGTTGATATGATTCTTTAGGGTCTTAATGAAAATTCTGTAACATAGTTTGGTTAAAATTTCTCAATGGTAGTGTAAAACAACACCGACGGTTTTTTACCGCCAAAAACAGCTCTTTTAAGGGGAATGTTTTCTTGCATGCCGCTTTAAATGCAAATGAGCTCTGCTCACACAGCCGCTCTCTGAGAGACGGTAAACTTTAGCTGCATTCATCGTGAAACTTGCTAAATAGCACGTTATTAGGAAAGGCGATTTGTAAAGATTCATTAAAAAAACCTTACACACTTCTTCTGGACGTGAAGCTGGATCACAAATGATTCGCACGAACATAGATGCATTTCGGTAGATTGGGGGCGCATTCCCTTCAAAAACAAAGGTAATCCACTGCATCTTCAGCGGCTCAGATGTCGGGAGTAAATGACGACTGCTATGTTCATTATTACATCCAAAAACAGAACACCCTAAATCGCTTAGGAGTCATTCTTGTCTACAACTGCTCCGGGGTGAAACAATGGCGGACTGATGACAGTCACTCAGGACAGATCTAAGGTAAGACGCCAGTCCAGTCTGTGCTGAAACGCTACTGTCAATCAAACTATCGTGGGAGGGGCACAGACTGAGAAAGATCTGAGATCGGCTCGATTTGAGAAAGGGGAAATTATTGAACGAGATTTTAAAAAAAAACACTGGGTGGATTTTTATCATTATAGGGTGGTTGTGTACACACACTGCCAACACACATTTCAGTTCAAACAGCTTGTAAAAGTGCATGTAGCATCCTATGACCCCTTTAAGGCTAGTCTAAACAGTTTATGCAACCGGCCCCAGATCGTCTGATCTCTTTTCCATTGCACTGCAAAGAAAACTGGCCAGCCGATAAGATTGTCGTTTTTTTGTCACACGCTGTTTGATTTACTTTATTCTCCATCATAAGCAGGTTAGGGTGGAGTCACATTTGCAAAATTGTGTGGGCAAACAAAGGCCCATTGTTCATTCTTAATAGTGTAGTGATGTATGAAGCACGGCTCACACAGAAGACACTTTCAACCCAAGCAGATTTCTGTTGGTCAAAAATCTGCGCCCTCATGCATTAAAGGCTGGTCACATTACACTTTTTCGTTCCATTGACTTCTATTCATACACGCATGAATATCATCTTTATTTCACTAAAGAATTCTACCTCTAACGAGCTGTAGATAAAACAGTCTAACAAATTAAAATTAAGGCAGGAAACGCAAGCATTTGCACATTTCACTGCATTTAGAAGTTTGAACTTGAACCCTGCAAATTTATATCGCGTGAAGATGTGTGAACAATAGAAGACTGCAGTGGCCTCTTGAATTAAAAGAACGCAAACTTTAAATCTGCAGGATTACATCGTTGCAGTTAAGTATATTACATATGTTTTATATGCATTATATGTACATCTGTTTAAAAAAAAAATGTCCATGCCAAAAGTTTAATGTGACCACTGCTTTTACTTCCGACTTCACTCAAGAAATTTTGCTGAGCGAAAAAAAAAAATGTTCTGCTGTAAATTCGCTGGTAAATGTGGCCGCACATTAATTATTAGAAACAGAAGCTGCAGCTTTGCTTTGTGTAACCAACGTTTACTTGGTTAACCAGGGTAACTGCTGTATTTATGCTTTTCTATAAGTGCCACCTACTGTAAGAGAATGAATCTGCACTTTCATTCAGCCTGTCTGCCATTTTTTTTCTTTGGTCGGAGCAGGAAAAAATTAAAAATGCATGACAAATTACACGCAAAAAAATCTGAAATTTGAGTTGTTGTGAACAGGCCTTTAGGGCAGATGATACAGAACAGATCAAAGAACATCAAACTCTTAGGTTATTTATTTTTGGCTCTAATTCACTAGTTATTTTTAAATGTCGCAGATTTTTTAAGAGTACAAATATTCCATGCAGTCACGCTACAATATTTTTTTTTTATTAATATGGCCATACAACTGCATGGATAATAATAATAAAATACTTACTGTTCTTTAAAAACATTTTAGATAAAGTATAGTATGTCATCTAACATTAACATAATAAAATCCTATTATTTTGTTGAACTGGGTTAGAAAACCACATCAACCCTAGAAAGACCATAGTGCACAGAGACCACTAAATATTCCTCCCGCAACATGCACATTACCTGGTAGATTCCCTGCAAAGTGATCATTTACTGCGCTTATGGCTCATCCTGTGCATCTTTATTATAAGAGGTTGCTTTGTTTTGCAGTAGCAGTTGATGGGCTAGAGATGAACCACAACCCTCCGTCTTCTGCCTCTCCAGACAAAGCGTACAGTATTCACACACAGCAGACGCACACACCTCCCGCAATGACTACAAATGTCAGACTTTTTGATTCGCGTTATTAATTTTCTCAGCTCAAATGCACGCACACTCCGCACTTCCTGTTCACAACCACAGACTGAAGAAGTCTTGATGCTCTGACAGCTACATCGACGACCGGCGCCACCTACCGGACTGGATCAATGTTAAAAAATAAAGATAAACACATTTAAATAAAAACATGGAAATGTTTACATAATACACTTTCTTGTTTAACAGATTATAAACAAATAGATTTTGTATTCTTTAACTTCTGATTTCAAAATTAGAAATAATGGTTTATAATTGCCGTACTTTTTATTTTATTTTTATTGAACAGTATCAATTTACACACTCAAATGGGGAACAATAAAATGCATCCGACAAAATATCTCCATCATACATAAATGTCCATGTGTGTATATATGTATATCTCTACATACTATAATTACCGTACTTGCATTTATGTATACTAAACTTTGCAAACAAAAGTAACAAATAAATCAATAATATTACTTAATGACGTAAGTGAAAAAAACAAAACGAATATAATATTTTCAAAACGTAGTTGAAAGCTGTGCATAATGTGATCTTTAACAAACGAGCAGAAATCGAACCAAAAACCGGCTGAATAAGGACAACTGAGGAAGAACAAAACTATGTAGACCACTAAATGTACAACGCACGTCAATATCGCAGTTAAATCCGTTTACAAGGAAATGGTTACTGGAGTAATATTTATAAATGAGTTATTATTGCTATTATATGCTATTATTGTTGTTTTGTTTAAATATTTAAGAGGTAGTAATTTCCTAATTCTGTGCCATATCAAACCATCAAAACAGCTGTTTCAGAAAGATATAATCACGTCTGATAGTTACGCAGGGGTGCATTTTTCGCAAGTACAATGACGCAACGACTCAACAAAAGTTGTATGGTCATACCTCCGTCGTTTGAACCACACATATAGTATGGGATTACAATTCTGCTCAAAAGATGATCTTTCGCACGCGGAATTGTGGCAGAATTGTAACCCCATAGTATAGTAGCCTACTGTAGTTAATTACGTCGTGTGCATGTGGTGGAGTAATAACTTCTGCTAATTAATTGATTCAAGATCGCAAGTAAAATTCGGATTATTCTAGTTTATTTACACGAAACATCAAAAAGCTTTTTTTAATGCTCTTGGTTTCTTCTGGTGAACTAATATATTGTATTGTCAAGCTACATTTAGCACGAGTTTCTGTCTGGGCAAATGGGCAAGCAAAAAGAGTGACTTAGCTTCAGTGTCGCCAAATAATTTTCAGAGAAAGTTGCTAAAGGAAGGTCGATTTGTTGCTAAAAAATCCGTTGCTTCACGCGTTATGACGTCCTTGTGCGATGACGTCACATGCGTAATCAAGATGCAAAATTGTCACATCAAATCTCAGCAAAAAACTATTTTATATATGTCAATTTAGATTTGTTTGTAAAATTATGTGTAATATAATAAAATATAAATAACTGCATTTTAAATACATTGAATTATTGAACGTTTTTTTTTATAACTAGTAAACTAGTAATACTACAAATTCTCAACAATTATGCTTTAAGCAGTGTATTAGTAGTTAGTTAGTATGCTACACTAGTAGTAGTAGTAGAAGTAGCAAAGTCTGTAAAAATAGGGAACAATCTAATATGTTAATATGAAATAATTTTCCGTATTGGTTTTATTTTTACCTGCATTTTAAATTACGCATTGTGTTTTCTGGTTACAGGGTTACAGTGGATAATGGATAATATCCTGGAAAATTACTAGTATCTTTTTCTTACGGTGTACTAACTGAACAACAATCGCAAGGTAACAATTATTCGCTTATTTTTATTATTAATTTGAACAATTGCAAATAGCAGTTAACTTAATTCACGTGATGTGTGTACTGCTAGGCATCTTTGGTTTCCTCTTTTTGTGTCATTTGGATGGAAAATGTGTGCCTTTTTATTGTCTGAGTCACTTATCAAAAGTTGCCAAATACATTTTTAAAATGGCTAAATTTATTGCTAGGTGCTTTTGGAAGAAAAAGTTGCTAGGGTAGTCTGAAAGGTTGCTAAATTTAGCAACAAAATTGCTAAGTTGGCAACACTGCTTAGCTGTAAAGTTGTAAAAGAAATAAAAACTTAAAAATGCTAAAACAGCAAGACACAAAGTTGAATTGATGTTTTGTTTATTTGATGGAATTACAATGGGGGAACATTTTTTTCCATCGTTGCTTGATATTACAAAATGTGTACAGTACTTTCTTGGTTGATGGTTGCAAATACATTTTTAAAATAGCTAAATTTATTGCTAGGTGCTTTTGGAAGAAAAAGTTGCTAGGGTAGTCTGAAAGGTTGCTAAATTTAGCAACAAAATTGCTAAGTTGGCAACACTGCTTAGCTGTAAAGTTGTAAAAGAAATAAAAACTTAAAAATGCTAAAACAGCAAGACACAAAGTTGAATTGATGTTTTGTTTATTTGATGGAATTACAATGGGGGAACATTTTTTTCCATCGTTGCTTGATATTACAAAATGTGTACAGTACTTTCTTGGTTGATGGTTGATGCTAAATGTTCTCTAAACTTCAAAAACACTGCCAAACATGTTGGAGAGAATGTCAAGGCACATCATGTTATTGAGACCAGAACAAGAAGGACCGTAGAGGTCAGTCACAGTGTCATTTTGAGCAGAATTTCAAAGATTTCACGTTAACTGTCTGTCAAGGGTCCGATACATATTTGGTGTACTCTAGTTTGAAAAGCAGACTACTCAGATATGCTGCAAATTAACCACACTTAATGTCAGAAAACCAATCATCGGTGTGTAATTATGGTATTCAAAGTAGCAGACTTTGACATCCCAGCTCTTGTTAAATACCCCCCCTGTTGGCCAGGGAGAGTACTGACATGATTAAACAATTTGAGCTAAAAAATTAAATTTAAAGGGGTCATATGATGCGATTTCAAGTTTTCTTTCTCTTTGGAGTGTTACAAGCTGTTTGTGAATAGATAAGATCCCTGAAGTTGCAAAGACTAAAGTCTCAAAACCAAAGAGATATTCTTTATCAAAGTTAAGACTCTGCCACGCCCCCCTAAAACGGCTCGTTCTAACACGCCCCCACATATCTACCTCACTATGTGGAAATATTAGCATAATGCGCCCAAATGTGCACGCAAAGAAAGAAGGCATGGTTTCAGTAACCGCAGTTAGTGTTGAAGCAGCATGTCAGGGAGACGCTGTGTGTTTCTAGGCGAAAGCAAAAGCACTTTATTTGGCCTTCCGAAAGTAGATGCATTTAGGAATCTTTAAGATTACTTACAACAGAACAGCAATGCATTTTATGGACGACCGTTTCGTGAACCTAGGAGAGGAGGTAATTCTGACTTTGCTATGACAATCTGGCGCTTCTGAATCAGCTACTGTTTTGCTATTAGTTTAAGTATTTGCTATTGACTGTTCAAATGCGGAGTGTTGCGCATCGTGCGTGTGCGAGCGAGAGAGAGTCACATCACAGTGGAGTCAGCTGTCTTAACCGTGGCTTGTGTACTGCAAACACATACCAGCTTCATCACTGTGTCTGTCACGCGACTCTGTTCCCCTTTCGGCTTGAACTGATGGTAAAACTAATGACATTATTTACTGTCTTTACATTTATTTTGAAAGCTGAAGCTGCGATTATGGTAAGAGGCGTTACATTTCCGACGAGTGCTTGCGGTGTTCGGCCAATCACAATGCACTGGGTCAGCTGGCCAATCAGAGCAGACTGCGCTTGTCGGAAGGAGGGACTTTGTTGAAAACGACGTGTTTGAGAGAGGCGGGGCATAGAGGACCTACAATAATGTACAGTATTTGAAAAACAATGTTTTTTGAACATTAAAGCATGTCAACATATTCTGTTACACCAAATAATGATCTTTAAAAAAGCATCATATGACCCCTTTAAAAGAAAATAAAAGTTCCTCGTATTCACTGATATTCCTCACAACATACACTCTACGATTCTACCAGGACTAACATATAGCGCTAACTTAAATAACAATACGACCAGGGCACATAATACATTTTTTTTTCTTTCCACATCTTGACCTTCGAGTAAAGTGGTTGAGAACCAGTCGGCTTCACAAACAAACATAACTTAAAAACAAAAGAGACCCTTCGTCAACAAAAACACGGCACTGAATCTAAAAACAAAATGGAGTCTAAAACAAGTCAACGATTAGTGTAAGGATTTTAGTCGAACAGACAATACACGGCGTCACGATCCCTGTTCCATTATGTCAGCATTAATCGCGCTATTGCTTACGAATTAAAAACACGTCAGCGTTCCTTGAGCCAAGAAAATAAACTGGCCTAACTGGACACTGGATTTCTCAGTAAACAGATGCAAAATGACATGATAGATTTCTAAATATTAACATTCTAAAACATAAATAGGACAGATAAAACCAGTTGCAGCAGTTGACGGCAGGCCTGTCGGTCGTAAAATCTGAACATCAGTCCGTGCGTCTCATATGTAGGGGTACTGAGGGACCCTCCGCGGGCTCAGCTGATAGCCGCTGTAAGCCCCGCCTCCTCTAATGGTGCTGGTGCTGATGTAAGGATGGGCGGGGTAATGTTGCTGGTAGTGGGCGGAGAGTCCGTGGACCACGCCTCCAATGGAGTCCTTTGGGATAAGACTGGCTGCATAGTGACTCGTGGGCGGGCCGTGCATGGAGGGGGAGGAGCCTTGTATGAGCAGGTGCTTCATGTGGGACGCGGGGGTGGGGTAGGGGTACAGGCTGGGGGTGCTGGTGAACGATGGGGCCTCCTGGAGACAGTAATGAGACGAGGTCGGCGGGTACGTGTGCTGTCGACGCAGGGAGGACGAGCCACCGGATGGTTCTTGGGACGAGGAGACAGTGGTCTGGAAAAAAGGAAAACAGGAAACTGAACCACACGTTCTTTATGATACGTAGAACCCTATGATTTCTCCGATGTGGAAAACGCATACGGAATCGCAGAATACAATCATAAAAACGGAATTTACTGTACAAAGCGGAATGTCACGGAATTTGTCCAATTTTAAACGACGTAATCAAAAGTAGGTCATTACACTTAAAGGGATAGTTCACCCAAAAATGAAAATTTGATGTTTATCTGCTTACCCCCAGGGCATCCAAGATGTAGGTGACTTTGTTTCTTCAGTAAAACACAAACAAAGATTTGTAACCGTTGCAGTCTGTCAGTCTTATAATGGAAGTGGATGGGAATCACGGCTTTGAGAGTAAAAAAAAACATACACAAACAAAACCAAATTAAACCCTGCGGCTCGTGACGATACATTGATGTGTAAAGACACGAAACGATGGGTCTGTGCAAGAAACTAAACAATATTTATATAGTTTTTTTACCACTGATGCACTGCAATGTCTGAACTGTCCTGAGACAGCCGGCGCATGATAGGTGGCAGTAATGCACTTAAAAGTCTGCGATCCGCCGTAAAGCAAGAAGATGCGTCATGCGCCGGCTGTCTCAGGACAGTTCAGACATTGCAGTGCATCAGAGGTAAAAAACTATATAAATACTGTTCAGTTTTTTGCACAGACCGATCGTTTCTTGTCTTTACACATCAATGTATCGTCACGAGCCATGTGTCGTCACGAGCCGCAGGGTTTAATTTGGTTTTGTTTGTGCATTTTTTTTTTTACTCTCAAAGCCGTGATTCCCATCCACTTCCATTATAAGACTGACAGACTGCAATGGTTAGAGGTTGGTTTGACTTGAAGACATTGTGCCTGAAACATTACTATTATTCAGTAGAATGTACATAATACTACTACTACTACTACAAAAATGATTAAAACTTCAGTTAAGGAATAAATCACACACTATTTCTGCCATGTTTTAATGTTAATAGTAAATCCCTTTTGTTTGCCAAAAATTAAGGGTTTAATTTTCAATAATTAAAAGATAAATGAAATTAATGTTGTATGCCTTCATTTGATAACCAGAAAAATTTAAACACACAACACAGAATTTCTGAGGAAAAAAACATTTCATAAGGCTATTTTAAGAATAAATTTGAATAAATTAAGTTGTTTTTACACATTCAAATGATTAGACATGCTAAAACAGAATTTGGTAACAATAAAACTTAAATTTCATAGGGCCCTAGGCATGTAGTTTTTGTTAAACTTTTAATCAATTTATGTAAAATGTAATAAGTTTCATGATTTTAATTAATTAGACATGCTTTTTGATTAATACAAATTAATTTAACCATTAAAAAGGGGTCCAGAAAAAAAATGGAATCCAGAAAAATGAAAACGAAAAAAACCCCTAAAAAAACGGAATTTGGGGAAACTGATTTCATAGGGCCCTAGATACACTGCAGCGCTGAGCATCGACAGAAGCGGTCACCTGACTGAGGTTGAGTGGTTGAGATCTGCTGGGCTCCTCCTGTTGGTGGTCAGTGACACTCTCTCCAGAGCTGCTCGGCTGCCTTGCGACAGCGGCTCTCTTAGGCTTCATGTAGTAATTCAGTGGAAGAGCTGAAGCAAACACGACAAATGCAGTTTTTAGTGATGCATTTCTTTTATAAAGAACTTTTGACCAAGCTATGGTGAATAAAAATGGGACAATTCCTAATACTCGCCTATAGCCGATGGGATTTTGGCTGATATTGAGCTTTCCACAGGCTGTGCTTTCACAGATGGAGCCACCACTGCCAGGGATTTGAAGAGTCGTGAGGACTGGACCCTCGCGTGACCGTTCTGGGGCTTGGGAGTCAGAGGACTAGTGGTGGAGGAGTCCGAATCGTGAACTGTTAGACAGCTGATCACATTAGTCCTGTGGCTGGGGCCACAGCTGACAAAAAAAAAAAAGAAAAAAAAGTTTAGTAAATTTCACATGGATTAAATGATTTAAAAATGTGTTTCACTGAAATTATATGGAGCTACTTCACATTGTGAAAAGAGGAATAGGACATTAGCCTCTTTCACGCATACAGACTTTACTGGTAAATTACTGTTAAGAGATCATGTGCGAACAGGACCTTTTCAAAAATACCGGTAAAAAGATGGAACATTGTTGCCTGTGTGAACAGCACATATTTGTATTTACCGGTAAAGTTGTTCCGGTAATTTTACGGCAATTTACTGGAATTTCTGTTTAAAAGGGGGTATTGTCAGACTGTAACTTATTTAGCATTAAATGCATATATTCCAGTTTAAAAGATAAGATATTTCTGAAAGAAGTCTCTTGTGCGGATCAAGGCTACATTTATTTACAGTAAAAATACAGTAATACTGCAAAATATTGTATAATTTAAAATAACTGTTTTCTATTTTAATACATTTTAAAATGTAATTTATTCCTGTGCTGCAAAGCTGAATTTTCCAGTCTTCAGTGCCACATGATCCTTCAGAAATCATTCTAACATGCTGATCTGCTGCTCAGCAAACATTTCTGATTATTATCAATGTTGAAAACAGTTGAGCTGCTTCATTTTTGTGGAAAACTGGATTTTTAAAAAATCTTTTGAAACACTATTGAATTGTCTTGTCGATCAATTTCTGGCATCCATGCTGAATAAAAGTATTACTATTTATTTATTTGTAATAATTAATTTTTTTCAACAAACTTTTTGTTGTGTATTTGAAAACATGGCAATCATACCAGGAAGTGACCTCACTCACCTAGCAGGGTGGAACTTCCTCTCGTCCTCATCTTCAGTGTCACTGTGTATGGTGATGACGCTGACAGCAGGACTCGGGGTGTCAGAGATAATGATGGGCTGAGTGAGAATAGCACTGAATGATTGAGAGCTCACCAGAGCACTGCTGTGAATACAGAAACAGAACAAAAACCAATTGAAAACTTAAAGGGGTCATATGATGCGATTTCAAGTTTTCCTTTCTCTTTGGAGTGTTACAAGCTGATTGTGAAAGATCCCTGAAGTCACAAAGACTAAAGTCTCAAAACCAAAGAGATATTCTTTATCAAAGTTAAGACTCTGCCACGCCCCCCTAAAACGACTCATTCGAACACGCCCCCACATATCTACCTCACTACGTGGAAATATTTGCATAATGCCGCCCAAATGTGCACGCAAAGAAAGGCGGCGTGGTTTCAGTAACTTAGCATCATATGACCCCTTTAATCTATGTCCTTACATTAGTTTGTCAAATCATGTTATTATTATTATTTTTTTAAATGGTACAAGCACACATTCCAAGCAAAAAAAATTTAGTTTTTTTTTAAACTATACTAAACACACCACTGACATTTAAGTGTCAAAAGTAAAATGCCCAATACCTGCTGCCAGTGTCACAACAGATTCTGCTCCTCTTGTTCTGTGACCGTGTGACCACAGACGTTCCTCGACTGAGAGAATGAGTGAGATTAAGGCCGCTAAGGAGGTGTGGGTTCTGCTGGACGACGCCATTGTGCTGACCGCTCTGAGACGCCCTGCAGGAAACAACCCATCAATCGGTATCGAGCACATTCAAACATCTATCGTACTGACATTGTGTGCAGATAATAAAAGTTCACGATTCTTCCTAAACATTTACCTCCAGCTTGACGTCTGCTGTGTGGCGCTCTCAGACAGCAGGGTCTCCAGAGGCGATTCGGTCAGTACGGGCTGGTGGCTGGAGTTGTGGATGGTCATGCCAGGCACCTGCTGCCATGCAGAGGGTATGAGGATCTGCTGGGTTCCCGCTGGCCAGGCCTGCTGGAGGACGACAACATATCTGCCTGAGTGACACTGGGACTTAGGAAAATGGAAAAGTCACTGAATGTCGATCAAATTTGAAAAAGGTTTCACTGGCAAATGAATAGTGGGTAAAAACAGCTATGACCAAATCTGCACCACACAATGACTGACACACATCTATGGCCATTTAAATCTGAATTTAAACATTTGAGTCATGCCAGGATGATGAGGAAATTCAACTAACATGCCGATGTGACACCACTGCACACAATTAAAATTGAACACCAAGAAAAAAAAAATATAATAATAATCATCAATGCACAAAATAAAAATCTGTAATTCTCTCCCGGAGCATAAGGCAGCTTTAGATGTAGCACAGCCATTTTGTATGATTTTAAAAGCCAAGACAAGCACAGCATGCATAAATCACACACAAGCCTTAAAAATTAAAGATGGGGGGCAGGAAAGAGTAGTCCGGCAACCTGTTGGGAAGAATCATGGCTGTTAAATAGTCAGAAAACACTGAGCATTTCCAAAAGATCTGCCATGCCAGTATGGGCAGCACTAGAGTACCTGCGGACAGACACGGCTATGAGAGGGAGAGGAACATGGCTGCGAGTGTTTTTGAGCTGTAGACAAGGTCAGTCTCCTCCCCTGAGAGAAGGAGGGCCAAACAGACGGTGGGGCTGGGAGGAGGAGGAGGGGGGGTGGGAGGTCAAAGGAGGGATGTAAAAAAAATATATTCACACAACAAGAAGCTGCAAGCAAAGCACAGAAGAGTCAGCACATGCCTCCCATGCCTGCAGCAGACCTGCACTGAGAAAGAACGATGAGGGAGGGACTGAGAGGGAAAAGAAAGGATGAACGAGCAGAAAGACTGGAAATAGAGAGAGAGAGAGAGAGAGAAGGAAAAGACAAGAAAGATGGAAAGGGAGATTAAATAAAGGGAGGAGCTGAAAGACAAAAAAATAGAGGAAAACTCAGAAAGAAAAATAAAGTGGTAAGAAATAAAGACAAGAAAGATGGAAAGGGAGATTAAATAAAGGGAGGAGCTGAAAGACAAAGAAATAGAGGAAAACTCAGAAAGAAAAATAAAGTGGTAAGAAATAAAAACAGATCAGAAAATGAGGGAAATTATAAAAAGGAAAACCACAAGCATCAAACAGAGACAGAAAGATCAGAAGAAAAGACAAAAGTGTCATAAAAACACACAAAAGATCAGTAAATCTCACAGAGTATCCAGAATATAAAAAAATAGTGATTGGAAACAAAGATTGTCATTGGAAAAAATTATATATATATAACACCCAAGAAGAGAATGAGAATCCAGGGGGAAACAACAGACACACAAAAGTGAGATCAGAAAAAAAGATGGTGACTGGAAAAGGATCAAAGTTTCATTGAATGAAACAAATAAATAAACAAACTATTAGTAAAAATCAACAAGAGATCAACTAGAATCCAGAATTACCAAATAAAGATCTGGGGGAAAAAGATCAAAGTGTCATTGAAAAAAAAAAAAAAGAGATAAGTAAAAACAACAAGAGATCAATGAGAATCCAGAATGATCAAAGTCTGATCAGAGAAAATATCAAAGTGTGTCAGAATAAAACAATGAAACAAATAAACAAACAAAATATTAGTAAAAATCAACAAGAGATCAACTAGAATATAGAATTCTCAAATAAAGATTAAAAGGGAAAAAAGATCAAAGTGCCAATGAAAAAATATCAACAAAAGATCAGTGAAGATGAACAAGAGATTAAAGAGGATCCAGAATTATCAAACAGAGGTGGAAAAAAAAAGATCAATAAGCAAGCAATAAAAATCAACAAGAGATCATATAGGATCCAGAATTTTCAGAGAGACCAGAAAAAAGCATCAAAGAGACAAGTAAATATAAAAGAGGGATAAAAAAAAAAAATCAAAAAGTGACCGGAAAGAAATAAGATATTAATAATATAGAGAGACCAGAACAAGAGTAGGATTAGAAAGAAATATGCATTTAAGCAGGATTTTGGAAAGAGCCAAAAAGGGGGAGAGAGTCAATGGGAGACTGAGAAATGATGATGTTAGTGGTAGAGCACTGGGGGGGTCTCTCTTTACCAGCACTGTGGCTGTCTGCTCCAGCAGGGCAGGCCTTCCTGCCCCACAGCCCAGTGCCAGGGGCAGCGGGTACTGGGATGCCACTCCCGCTGTGTGGGGGTGCAGCGTGGCCACCATCAGAGGCGTGCAGGAGCCCTATGGAGGAGGGGCACCATGGAGGGAAAGGGGCAAAAAGCATGGAAAGATTAGACAAAAGGTCAGACTCAGGTCAGGGGTACAAGGCTGTGATCTCAAGTGCAGCCGAACAGCCGTCCATGCAGACTTTAAGGACTGACGTTTCCTCTCCAACTCAACTGGATTAATTTGCAATACGTCAGATTGCAGTGACGGAACGTCAGCGTTAGATATAATGCCACCGCTTCACAAACAATGCGCTTTATGTCTTACCTGCGTCAGCATGCTGGGTTGAATCTGAAGAGGCTGCGTGGACTGGTTCTGCTGGACAACAGGAACAGTGTTCTCCATCCGGACAGGATAGCTAGAGGTTTTATTAGAAGATGGAAGCCCTTCAAGAAAAAAACAACAACAGATATTCAGAGTGCTTTTCAAGGGTGGGGAAGCCCTACATATGTATCAAATGAATAATCAAATGTAAAACATCTTGCACTAATAGCAAAACAAACTAAAAAATTCTGAATGACTCAAATTAAACAAAATACAAATTCACGGCCATACAGTAGAGGGCGCAACCATTCCAGAGATCAAAAGAAAAGAAAGCAGGAAAAGAAACTCGAATTTTAGCTAAATGAAACAGATGTAATGCTTAACCAAGTAATTTGTGGTGATCTGTATGATTAAGTTATCAAAAGTAAGTAGCAAAGACACTGGTAGATTACGTGACAATTAAATCCATAAAGTATGTTCACATTGTTTTATGTATTTAATAGTTAAATTCTTACGTTACTTATCAGTTCTATGCGTTTCAGGAGACTGTATACACAAATGATCCATGATGCAATCCTTAATAAAGGTTATTTTTCATTCTTATTATTTTGTTTAATTACACTAGATGTTTTAAGAAAAAAGGACAATATCCAAAATTCCAGCAGTTTAAACCTTACAAAAAAAAAAAAAAACGGGGATTAAAAATCATGCATTTTTTAAACTTTCAAAACTCTGAATGAACCCTGAAATGAATATCTTAATTTTTGCCACCATTTCAACAAATACAATCCCAGTTAAGCCCAAAATTTACTGCTTGCAAGCCATTTTAATTTACGTTTCTGAGACAGGATATTTAACAAAAAACAATACAAAACAGTGAACCAGTGATTTAGCTACTACTGGATGGAGTCTGGCTTATTAAAGGGACATAAAATCACCCACAATGCACCCAGCTCCGGCTCACCTTGGATAGTGGTGGGGGGGCAGACGATGAGGGTTTGCTGGAAAGGTTCAGTCTGAGCACACAGCTGAGTGGGGCGGGTCTGCAGGGGGATGCTGGGTTGGGTCAGGCCTGGGATGTTTATGGTGGCCTGCTGGTAAAGTGCTGGTTGGTAGTTAAGGAGAGGAACAGCTCCACCAGCAGACGGAACCTGAGAAAATGACCAGCACAGATAAGATTGAAGGAAATCCTTATGAAAACGCTTACAGCGCGTGTATTTTTAACCAGGTGGTTTTCCCCTCACCTGGCTGTGCTGGTTCAGCTGGCTGCTGAAGGTCACAGTCAGGTTTCCTGCAGTTCCAGGAACAGTGTTAGCAGCAAACAGGGCTTTCCCACTGTCAAAGCTACTGTTCCTTCTCTTGCAGATGTCCATGTTCTGGAAGCACGACTTCACACTACAAAAATGATATGAGCATCAAATGTATAACACATTTCTTCAAACTAACCGGTGCTGAAAGTCTAGGGCCTGGTTTCACAGACAGGGTTTAGACTAAGCCAGGATTAGGCCATAGTTCAATTAGGACATTCAAGTACATTTTTATAAACATGCCTTAGGGAAAACATTACTGGTGTGCATCTTGAGATAAAACAAAGGCACTGATATTTGTTAAAGGGTTAGTTCACCCAAAATGAAAATTCTGTCATTAATTATTCACCCTTATGTCGTTCCAAACCCGTAACATCAACGTAATCAACTTAAATCGACGTCGTTTACCTTCAGCATGCGCGCGCTGTCTACTGAATGTAAACCACGCGGATTACGTTCTGGGGTACTCTCCAAAATGGCGGAAGATGGCAACTCGGGGAGAAGAATTGCTGAATAATTTATGTTATTATTGTTTTCTTTGCGCACAAAAAGTATTCTCGTAGCTTCGTAAAATTACGGTTGAACCCCTGATGTCACGATCTGTCAAGGTATTATCTGAACCCTTATGTTCATCAAAGGATTTTCCTTTTCCACAAACGGTAGCTAATGTTATCCCATTGGACTTAAAGGGTTTTTAAATTCTGTCATTAATTACTCACCCTCATGTCGTTTCAAACCCGTAAGACCTTCGTTCATCTTCGGAACACAAATTAAGATCTTTTTGAGGGAATCTTAGAGCTGTCTGACCCTCCCAAGTCCAGAAACATGGCAAGGAGATCTGTAAAATAATCCATGTGACATCAATGGTTCATCCGCAATTATACGAAGCTATGAGAATACTTTTTGTGCGCAAAAGAAAAAAAAATAGCGACTATTCAACAATTTGTCTCCTCCGCATCACCCTGGTGCCTTTTTGGAGAATATCCGCTGGACGGAAACGTTCGTATGCTGTTCTGTGTCAGTTGCGTACTGTCTCATCTCAAATAATAGAAGAAAAGACTTAAACTACTTCAGTCTGTGTGCATTGAATTTATTTAATACACGAGTTTCACAATTTGAGTTGAATTACTGAAATAAATGAACTTTTCCACGACATTCTAATTTATTGAGATGCACCTGTACACTGTTTACGTCCAGCGGATATTCTCCAAAATGGCACCAGGGTGATGCGGAGTAGACGAATTGTTGAATAAAGTATTCTCGTAGCTTTGTATAATTGCAGATGAACCCCTGATGTCACATGAATTATTTTACAGATCTCCTTGCTACGTTTCTGGACTTGGGAACATTTCAGTTGTGTTGCCGTCTATGCAAGGTCAGACAGCTCTCAGATTTCATCAAAAATATCTTCATTTGTGTTCCGAAGATGAACGAAGGTTTTACGGGTTTGAAATGACACGAGGATGAGTAATGACAGAATTTTCATTTTTGGGTGAACTAACCCTTTAAACCTGAGTTTGCTAAAAACAGGATATAATAATTCAAACTTGCTTTTTTTTCCCAATTAACAGTTTTTTCATTTCTTTTTGGAAATTAGCCTACTGATTTTAGGCCTCACTGATCTGAGCTTATGCACATCAAATTTTAAAATTATCCACAAAAAATGCCTAGACTGGCATACTTTGCTGGGACTGTACAATATTGGCACACTGCTGTGACCCAGCCACATGAATACAGCGCATTTTACAATGAGCCTCATTTGCACAGAAAGGCGACATATTTATACATCATACAGCACCAGCATGAAGTGCCAGAGACACAAATACTAAAGACCAAAGTACACTTTGGTTTTTATGTGTACACAAGGGTCCGTGTACAGTGCATGACGCAAATTTAAAAGGAAACAAGTATAGAAAACATAGCTTCTTTATATGAAAATTGAGAGAGAATTGAGAAGGTTGAGAGCTAATATTTTTTCTGATAATAACAGTAACATAACATGTGAGACCTGGTCATATTCTGAAGCTCCTGGGGTCCGTGTACAGTGCATGACGCAAATTTAAAAGGAAACAAGTATAGAAAACATAGCTTCTTTATATGAAAATTGAGAGAATTGAGAAGGTTGAGCGCTAATATTTTTTCTGATAATAACAGTAACATAACATGTGAGACCTGGTCATATTCTGAAGCTCCTGGATATAACGGCCAGCCCAGAAAGAGCTCTGCAATCACACAACCCAGTGACCACATGTCAATGGCTTCACAGAACGGCAGACCAAGGATGATCTCAGGGGCTCTGAGGATAGAAAGCATATCATAATCTATGCATTTAGGCTCTATGTTTTTTTTTTATAAACACCTTTAGGATTAAATCGGGTGATTATTACAACAACATGATCTCATAACTGTGGGATGTAATCTCTACTGAAGGGATGTGTGATCATTAAGCATGCACAGATTACAGATAAGCGCTCACCTGTAGTAGCGAGACTGGAGGTAAGTTGAGCAGCCGGCTTTGGAGACGTGACTGGCTGACCCAAAGTCAATGACCTTTACCCTGTAGGGCTGTCGGATGGGGTCCACAAGCATGATGTTCTCAGGCTTCAGATCAGCGTGGATGAGACCCAGGCTCTTCAGCTTCATCAGGGCCGTGGCCACCTGCTGCAGGATGGGGCGGATGTGCCTCAGGGGCAGTGGGCTGAACTTACTGTGCTTCAGGAAATCGTAAAGGTTCTGCTCGAGCATTTCAAACACCAAACATGTGTGGCCCTTGTGCTGGAAACACTCGTAGGAGCGGACAAAGTTGAACTCATCAGCGTTCTCCGCACTCAGCCGGTTCAATATGCTAACCTAGAAGAGATATTAGGGGTCAATGACAAATACAGTAAATAGGAAAACTCTTAATTTAGTTGTGCCAGGTTCTTAGAAATGTCTTTGTATTCATGTTGGCTACATGAATTTGAATAATCTGTTCCAATATCATGAGCTGTTCATTCATAAATATTATGTTTTAGGGCAGACCACATGACATTTCACAACCTCGATTAACTTTTCTTCTTCGCATATACCATCACATTTCCTATTGGCCTGTAAATGATCGGGAATTTTGCATGATGGGAAAATAAGTCCCCATTTTGCAATGGTTCAGTTGGTTGCATAAATTCATTGCACCGACTAACAGAAGCTGCTTGGGTTGAAAGTGACTTTTGTGTGAGCCGTTTCATGCATCTATGCTATCAACAATGAACAACAGTTTTTTTGCATGGTTTTTGAGTGAACTAATGCTTTATTCACATACAAACATTGAACACTGATATATAAAACATTGAGATTATATTAGAAAAATAAACAATCAGATTTGGTCACATGTAGCTCAAACATGCCTGCTTAACGCGTGTGAACCAACGATGTTGGTCACTGCATCACGAGCTTTAGCAAGAACCAATAAGGGGTATGTTCTCACACGTCAAGCAAGTACGGTTGCACTTCTGTTTATGTTTGTGGAGCAATGTTTATATGTGAATAAAAGCCTAAATTAAATTGGTTCATCACAAAAAAACTATTGTTTCACTTCAGAAGACTTGGACTAAACCGCTCGGTTCATTTGGATTTATTTTTTGATCTCTTTATGAAAGTTTTGGGTGAACACAGTCAAAGGAGGGACAGAAATCTCTCAGATCTTCTTTAAAATATCTTCATTTGTTTTCCAAAGATGAACAAATTTCTTCTGGGTTTGTAAAGAGTGAGCAAATGGCGACAATTTTTATTTAGGGATGAATTGACCCTTTAATTATATATTTTAAGCAATTTTTTTCTTTAATTAAGGCTTCATTATTCATTATGATATCAGCTGATCAGTTGTATCAACCTGATTTTTTCCCCTTTATGCCCCTTCCAAATAAATAAAATCTCAAAATGAATTTAATTCACAAAAATTAAAACAGGTTCATTTTAAAATAAGTGTATTCACGTCACTACATGTAATTAAAATGGTAATCTCTCTGAATAAATTAACAGATAGATATGACAAAATGAGCATCATGTAATTTACTTATGATCCCTATTAGATTGAGGGGGAACACGGCAAACTCATATTTAGTTTCATCTTAGGGCCAGATTTACTAACACCTTGCACCAGCGCAAACCGTCTTTTGGCGTTAAAATAGCACGGTTACGATTTACTAAAGACGCACAGTGAAGAATTAGTGCTGAAAAGGCGTGGATATTTTTAGGACTCAACTTTTTGAATATGCATTTGTATGAGTTTCGCTTTCAGACACAACATTTTAAAATGAAATGGAATGAGTATTAAAATGAATCACGCAACACGATTTACTAACGTTTTCGCTCGTCCAATTACTGGTATTTGCGCCATTATTTAACGCCCAAAAAAGCATGTCTTAAAGCAGGCGGTAATTTGCGCTGCTCTTGGTAGATTGCGCTGGTCATTATGGAAATGATCTGGCCGTGTCCGTGTTCTTTAATGTGCACATTGTTGGTAAATCATACGCAAAATGTTCCCCTCCCTTGTGCGCTTTTATGGAATTGCACACTAATGCTAATTTGCCCCGTTTAGTCAATCTGGCCCATGGAGTTAGGCTATGTTCACACTTAGCGTCTTTTTTGAAGCTGCCAGCATCTGTTTTACGTTATAATCCTATGGAGTAAACATTGTTTTCAAAAAAAGTCCTAAGCGCTTTTTAAAACACCACCGCCGGCAGCGTCTTTTTCTGCAGCTCGGAGCGTCTTTTCAAGTTGAAAAAAGTTCAACTTTTCTGAAAAACAAAAAACACCCCACATCAAGCGCCTTTTTGGTAGCTGACCAATGACAAGTCAGTCGTTTCCATAACAAAAAATGAGAACATAGCCAGTAGATAGAGCGTGCTAGTTTCGGAGCACAAGGAGTTATATGATATGAGAACAGAACTCTATCTAGTCTCAAATATGCCGCAAACAGTGCATCATCCAACCGGAGCTCCTGGACTAAATTGTTGTAAGCACCATACTGCTTCCTTCCCCGTATAATGTCGCAATGTTCACAAACATCATTGTGAACCGATATTCTCCTCCCCGTTGACTTCAAAAGCCAATGCAAGAGCCAACTTTTTACACTCTTCTCGACATTTCGAGATGGTCCTCACTGCAGAACACAAGATCCAGGGGGCGAGGTTGGATCCAGATCCAACTCCTCCCACCTTACATATACCTAAACCTACCATCTCCACCCCCTAGATGTGGATCCAACCCCGCCCCCTGGATCTTTGTTCTGCAGTGAGGGGCTACTGGACATTTCGGCAGCACACAGCACTAGGCTACTGTTGCAGCTGTTGTTATAGCAACAAAAGAAGCCTTCGGCTGCTATTTGTAACCAAAACGTTGCCAGCTTTTACTTAAAAAGTGCTCGTCCAATTTTTCTTGTCAAAAAAGACACCAAGTGTGAACACGCCCTAAGAAGTAAAAAAGGCATGCCAGTTGCAGTCTCTGCAGTAAAATGAGGCGGAAATGAAATACCAGGAAATCTTGATCAGGTGATATCCCAAGATTGGAAAACAATAACCCAAAAACATACCTCGATCTGTCCCTGACGTGCATATGATGGATGGTTCTTCAGGATCTTGATGGCCACAATCTCATTAGTTCCTCTTTTCCAGCACTTGGCCACCTGCCCAAACGTGCCCCGGCCGAGAAACTCAAGAACTTCGTAGCTGTTGGCGACGGAGCAGAGGATCTCGTGCTGGACCAGCTGGTAATCCCCTTCCCCATTGGAGCTGCTGCTTTTGGTGGTGGGGGCCGAGTGGGGGATGGATTGGGCGGTGGTCCCTGCTCCTCCCGTCCGCGCAGAGAAAGCAGGAGCTGAGAGCTCCTCCAGAATCTGAACGCTGCCACTTCCTCCGGAGCTCTCCACCTCCTCGTTCTTCCTCTTCACGCCGTACCTGTGCCCGCGGGAGGAGTGCGACTCCGAGTGGTGGGTGTTGTGGGAGGTTCTGCGGCTGGACCCCCGCGGGAGGCTCCCGGTGCTGTCTGCCGCACGGACCACCACCTGGCCCCGGGATGCTGGGGGGAAGACCAGGCTCGAGGAGCCGAAAGGGAGGCCCGCTGCGGGGTTGAAGCTGTACTGGCCCACAGAACTGTACGCTTCATTGGAAGCATCCCAAGCACAGCTCTCCACTTTCATTTTTTTCACCCTGCAGAAGGCACTGGAAGACACAGATGGAGGGGAGAAAACCTGCAGCTGTGAAGCCATGCCTGCAGATATTGGATAAATAAGTTTGGGCATTGTTGAATACAGAAAGAACACAAAAGCACTTTTAAGAATGACTAGTAGGGCTGTGAAAATGGCTGAAAAACTAAATTCGAATTTTGTACATAAATATGATCAAAATTCGAATTATATTCATAGTTAGGGTGACGAAAAGCTTTTGGCTTCTATCTTGAGGCCACAAGAGGGCACATCGAGCAAAATATTACTAATGCACATTTATTCAAAGCATAAAATAAGGCTATCTGTGAAAAAAAAGTGCATAATGTTTAAAATAATGTTTATAAACCAATTATAATTAAGTTGCTTAAACAACTATAAACAAAACAGCATCATGTATGCATGTATAGTTTAATAAAAAATGGCTGAAAGCCAATCACACAGAGTACATTTTTCATTTAAAAACACGAGTTGCAGTGGGATGGGGAAAAAAACAGGGATAAAGTCTCGATATGTTTTTTTTTATAAAGTTGAACTTGCATTAATTTTACATGGCTTTCTAAACATGCGGCTCTTTTGTGCGAGATGCGAGTGCAACGTTGATAGATGTCCCTCTAGAAAATGCGCGAAATATGCGTTCTGTGTGAACGGCTTGGTTTCAGTTTTGACGTAAACAAGATCTTCTCCGCATTGATGTTCTCTTTTCCCGCAATATTTGTAATGAACAACGCAGCAGCGCCGCATCTAGTGGCTTCAACTGGATAGGCTAACAAAAACATTAAAATGCAATGACACTTACATCGTCATCGCATCTCGTGTGCCACTGATAAGGCTGCCTTCCTTAACGCACACCTAAAATTAGAATGCAACGTTTTTGCATTCAAATGTGGATTTTTATTTTAAATTCGACGAATATTCGAAATTCAACAGCCCTAATATATACACACACATATAGTATGTAAACAAACTTTTATTTCGAAGCGATTAATCGTTTTGCAGCCCTAAAAATTACAATACTGATATATCAACATGATTGAACAGTCAGATAGTGAACATTATTTATTATAAATATTGACATCTAGAATTCACGTAAATGTATTGAGATCTGACAATGGCATTGTAATGACTGTCAGCTCCATGTAGTAAAATTTCGCAATAGCACTAGAGAGAAAATCCTGCCGTGTTGATCAGAGTTTGCGCTCACGCACACACACAAACACTGCTCTAGCGGATCTTTAGGTTTCAGCGCCATAGAGAAACATAGAAAGATCCGAAGCTTTTATGCGAAAAAAAAAAAATGGAAAAACGATGTGCCTGGGGTACTTGTAACACTGATTCCAGGTATCCCCAGCGGATAGGCAATAGAATTTATTTTATTACATTTCCTGAACCCAAACAAAACAGAGCAAAAATGTCCCTAAGCATTCAACCCCAATCCCAATGAAGACGAAAACGTTCATTTTCTGATTGTCATACTCTCGTTAAGTTACAATTTTAATCTACTCAAAGAGAACCTTGATGTCATCTTGTGCTTCAGCAAGGGATCTCTGGCTAAAATTAACGTTAAATTTAGCTAGTCAATGCTAATGTATAAGCATAAATAGCAAACTGTTCTCACGTCATGAACAGTGTAGGTCAAAAACACAAACGAAAATCTACATTTCAGTGTCTCTTCATATTAAACTGGTTAAATGTAAATTAATTTAATCTAATTTACACTGCGGTAACGTAACAAAGAACAGTGTTGATCCGGGATGTTGTCATTGTAATCGTACCGACCGTAACATGAGACTTCTCCTGTTTGCATTATGATCTGTATTTTTACACATTTATATATCCCTCCATGGCATATTTCAGTCCTACTTAAATGATGGTCCTTCCGTGTCCAAAATTGATCAAAAACAGCTTGGGACAAAGTTTTCACACTGACAGCCGTCATTAGGGATGGGCGTATCGATATATCGATACTGACGCGAGTATTACGAGTATCGATACTCAAACAAAAAATATTGATACTAAGGTGCGTTTTATTTACCAGTGATTTTGTTAATTCAACAACAAAAAAATTATGCGTACAATATGCATTGAATTGGACGAATAACCTTTGTTAGAGAGTAATTGTGTAGGATAGAACTATTTTCCTGCTCATCTGAACACGCAAATGTTGCAATATAAACTCACTGTATAATATGAATAATTTTATAGTGGAAATTACTATTTGAAAAATTAATATCTAAAAACTATCTATATATTATACAAATCATTTTATAATGGACATATTGCTAGTTGAAAAAGAATACATCTAAAAATGACCTACAATCACTCTCTATAAAATATGAATACTTTTATAATGGAAATGTAGCTAGTTGAACAACTAAAATCTTTAAATTATTTATAATCGCTCTCTATATGATATAAATCATATACATTTCCAGGTAAAAGCGTAACACTCGTTTCGTCCCATATCTGAAGTATCAGCAGTGTTGGGGGTAACACACTACAAGTAACACGAGTTACATAATCAGATTACTTTTTTCAAGCAACTAGTAAAGTAACGCATTACTTTTTAATTTACAAGAAAATATCTGAGTTACTTTTTCAAATAAGTAATGCATGTTACCCCCCCCACCCATTTATTGATTGACAGCTCTTCTGTTCCCATGCTGAGAGAAATCAGAAGATGTTACTGTTGTTCAAAATAAATATGAATATGCATTAATTCATCTCTCTCACAAAAAAAGAACACAGATTCAGTATTCCTCAAAATGAATAAAAAATAATGCAACTCAGAATATGACGCAAACCTGCAATAATTAAATGTTAAACAACACAAATATGCTTTATGTATTTAATCCCATTCTATTAACCAATGTCTTTGCTTCTGACCTTCGATGATCCAGTTCAACCGTAGACAACATTTGTGTGTCTTTGTTTATTGCTGAAGTGTGTTGAATTTCTTCTTCTGCATTCTACTGTACTTTCCCTTCAGCCTGAGGCTTATTCATTTCACTTTTGGTGTGAAAGGATTTATATTTGCCAAAAATATAACTTTTTTATTTTACAAACAAACAAGCAAGCCCTGTCCAGATTTAAAAAGTAACGCAAAAGTAACGTAACGCATTACTTTCCATAAAAAGTAACTAAGTAACGAAATTAGTTACTTTTTATGGAGTAACGCAATATTGTAATGCATTACTTTTAAAAGTAACTTTCCCCAACACTGAGGATCAGTGTACTGTATTACACGCACCCAGGGATTTCAACGACAGATCAGACAAATAAAATAAAATTGAATAAACTATTACTTTCAGTTTTAAAAAATCGGCCAAGAATCTGGATTGAGGGTCTCTCTGCCTGAAACCCCTGATTTACACAAGCACATTCAGAAAGACCGACTGCAAGCAGAACATCATATCTAAAACATTTAAACCAAATAAAAAACATCAAATCACCAGCACAACCACAACCAAAATATCAAACATTACCTGCGAGCTGCACAGTTGCTGATCGTGTATAATCGAGTTTTACCGCGATACCACCCCGCTGTATGTTCACAACACCAAACGACTCCACCCTTTTCGAGAAAACTGCGCTAATGTCACGAAGCAAAATAAGAAACGCCGAAATTAACGGCAAAACACGGCGTTTGTTTCTTTAAATGCGCATTAATATCGCAATCACTGAGCTGAGTGACACTGTTGCCGATGTCCTCGAACCTGCAGACGCCATGAGTTTGCGACATTGTATCATCTGTCAGCTATATGTAACGAACCGTTAGCGTTGCAATACAACATATTAAATGCAATATTCAAAATAAAAAAACAGACTACAATGCCGGTTGTTCTGACTCACAGATTGTAAGTAGGTTTTTTAATATTTAAAGAATTTGCCACTGATGATTCAAACGCGAGTTTTGAGCAGTGTAGAGTAGCGCTTGTTTGTCGTTTCTCCGATCACAAATGCAGACATGGTTTTATGTTTACGTGGGTTTCAGAAAGGCAGGGCATAGAGGAGAAACAATAATGTACAGTATGTGGAAAATAATGTGTTTTTTGAACCTTAAACCGCATAAACACATTTGATTACACCAAATACACAAACTAATGTTCTTTTTAGCAGCATCATATGACCCCTTTAAATGGACGAAAGTAGACAAGCATGGCATTTTTATAAGGTATCATTAACACAGTTATTTAATATTAATAGTGCAAACATTGTCATTCAAATAATAATAATAATAATATAATACGGAAATGCTGATAGAAAAATAGCTTATACAAAAAAAAAAACACCTGTACATAAAAATATTAATAATCTCTCTCTCATTACAAACATGAAGTACAATTAAAGCACATGTGACAAATTGCCCCAGGCTGACTTGAGAAATACCCTTATTTTTAAAGCAGTCCAAACTTTGTGTTAAAAGTACCTTCATTTAACTAGAATCTTGCCTGACTTTGTCATTGTGTTGACTTGCTTAGCAATACAACTATAAGTAAAAATGTTAACACTTTAGTATAGGGAGCAATTCACACTATTAAAGTTGCTTATTAGCATGCCTATTAATAACATATTGGCTGTTTATTAGTACTTAAAGCACATATTCTGCATGAACATATTCTACATCCCTAATCCTACCCCTAAACTTAACAACTACCTTACTAACTATTAATAAGCAGCAGATTAGGAGTTTATTGAGGCAAAAGTCGTATAATGGTTTGTTAATGGCAAGAATTGGACCTTAAAATAAAGTGTGACTGAAATGACATTTTAGTTTGGAGGATGTAATTTACAAGAGTTTAAACTATGTCTTTGAAGTCCACTTACATAACCAGTGCTAGAAAAAGTCTTTATTAGAGAAAAAACGTTTTATTAGCGATGCATTTTATAATTTCAGTGTTTGGGAAAAGTGTTGGGAAATGATTTTGAAAGCAAAATTTGGCATGTCATGGCTGTTAAGAAAGTGCAAGGATCCGAAAAAGAAAAAGAAACGGGATGAGAGCGAACTGTAACACGCATAATAACGGGCTTAACAGAAACACTAATTCTTCAGTTTAACTGGTCTGTCATGGCCAC